AAAGAAAAAAAAAAAAAAAAAAAAAAAAAACAGAAAAAAAGGATGTAGGATATTATCCATCTTAATTTTTCGTTGTTGAAATTTATGATCGATCTTAATGAGGATGATTAATTGATTGACAGATAGATAGCGGCTAAACTGAACGAGAGAAACGACAGATTAAAGCATTAGCAAAAGCACTTAATGATCGCGTTTAATATAGGCAATCTGTTGCAGCAAGCCTACGATATAGCATACAGACTATCGCGTTCGATATTAGAACATATCTAAATAATAATACGGAAAACGACAATAACGGGATAAAAGCTTGGATGCTTTTTAGAATTTATTAAAAAAAAAAAAAAAAAAGGAAAAGACAAGACAAGAAAAAGAAAATCTTGTTCCTCGATCGAGCCCGCCTCTATCGATCGTTTTCGACGAACTACTTTTTTCATGAAAATAAAAAAAAGATCATCTTCCTCCGTGCCTCTTCGTTGACTTACTTCGGCGCTATATCAGAGCCTTGCTGCATGAGCGAGCCTATGGTGAACCAGAGCGAGTTCATCAGGGTGAACTCATTCTCGAGGACCTCGGACTGTCCATTGCACGGATGGGGATTCTCCCACTCGTAGGGGCTGAACCTGCGGACACGTGAAAGGAAAAAAGGGACGGGATTAGATCGATGGAATCTTTTTTTCTAATGATCTGTTTTTGTTTATTTTTCTTTTTTTTTCTTTTTCTTTTTCCTTATTCGTTCTCTCCCTCTCTATCACACACACACACACACACAAACACGCACGCACACGCACACAGCAGACAACAGATAGATATACTTTCTCTTTTATTCTTCAGCCTTCTCTTTTTTCCTTCTGTCACGTAATTATTTCGACGAATATAGTGTTTGTCCTCGATCACTCACAATAATACCATTAATTTTTTCTTGGATTTTCTTTTTATCATCGGTTTCCTAATTACTCCGACGAAAGAAGTACCCTATCCTAATTTTATTTCTGATAGATTAAGCTCCTTTCTGAATTTTTCCCTTTACTTACGTATATGTATATATATATATATATATATATATATATATATATATATATATATATACATATACGAAGGGATATCTCTACGGTCATCGTTTGCTATTCGTTCAATTTTATTTATTCTTGTTTTTTTTTCTGCTACCTTTTTCTCTTCTTTTCTCTTTTTTTTTTTTTTTTTTTTATTGATCTGGAATTTTTCTTCGCGCAAGAAAAAAGAAAAGAGAGAGAAAAAAAAAAGAAAAAAACATAAAAGAAGAAATTGTAATGTTAAAAAATTTAAATAAAAAGACGAGCGATCTCTCGCGAGTAATTGATGTACGTACGATGCACATGTATACGTATACGATGACGAAAAATATGAATTCTATGGAAGTTAGAAAAGTTAGAAAAGTTCGAATAGAAAAAGGAACAACTTCTTCGTACACACGGAAAACGTGAATAGGAATCTATATAAACTTTTTTAAAACTGATCAAACTTCCACCCTATCCCACCCCCTTTTCTCTCAACGATTCGTACGACCAGCCAAACTCTTGAGAACTTTTCGACGAAGCTAAAAAATATAAAGGACCGTGTCTATTCCCATAAAAAAATTTTTGTCTTTCGCTTTACGATGTCATATTCTAAAGTATACATAAAAAAAAAAAAGAGAAAGAGAGAGAGAAAGAGAGAAAGAGAGAGGGAGAGAAAGAGAGAAACTAATTTCGTTCTTCTGTCTGTTTATCTGTCTGTCTGTCTGTCTCTCTTTCTCCCTTTTTCTGTATCCTTTGAAATCGGATGATAATGCAATTTAAAATTTGTAAATGATGTAATTGAAATGATTTTGCAGAAGGGGAAACAAGAGATCAATACTTTTTTAACGTCATATCGTTATATATTTTGAAATATTATTTTTACATGCAAAATTTCGATGACTATAAATCAACGTGAGAGAAATGACGATAGATTTATTAATCTGTCGAGTAAAAAAGAAAAAAACAAAAAAAAAAAACAAAAGGAAAGAACAAACATAAGACAAATCGAAGAAAAAGTATTGATAATATTAGAAACAATTAAACAGTATCTACGAAGCAATGATCTTTTGCGAGATAGATAGGTAGATAGATAGATAGATAGATAGATAGATAGATAGATAGATAGAGATATATACATAAACACCTACATACACACGATTCGCGCGCGCGAACATACACTCACATACACACATACGTACACAGGGTGACATACACCTCTGTGATGAGAGAGCTTACTTTGGCAGAATATCGCAACCCTGCCGCATTAACGATCCAATGGTGAACCAGAGGCAGTTGAGTAGCTTGAAACGATTCTCCAGATGATCCGGGTTTTTGTTGCACGGATGAGGATTGTACCACTCGTACGGTGTGAATCTAAACGCATCAACCATCAGAGATGATGCAAATAGCTTCAACTATTTAAACTCGTCACTGACCGACCATTTCGTTTTACAAATTTCTCCGAGAAACGAGAGTTTTGAACTCTTACGATCTCAATTAAAGTCCAATTAAACTCACGTTAATTGGCATCTCGTTAAAAGGACTCTTATATAATATATCTAAATGTATATATATATATATGTTTTTCTCTCTCTCTCTCTCTCTCTCTTTCCCTCTCTCTCTCTCTCTCTCTCTCTCTCTCTCTCTCTCTTATTTTCACTTTAACTTTATTACTCACTCTCTCTTTCTCTCTTTTCTTATCTCTCTCACTCACATTCTCTCCTCTTTACTTATCGGTAAAGATATGATCAAAGTTATTTAACCCCCAAAGAATTTGTACTTGCCTTGCTAGAATGAACAACAAAACGGACACTCCTAGATAAGCTGTGGCCATGTAGATCCAAACGTCAAGGCTTAATGGACTGAGAAACGAGAAGAGATTCGGTGGTTGCTTTATCGGCTTACGATAAAGTATGCTTATCCCTGAAAATTCAAACGAATTTTCTACTAATCGTCTAAAGAAAAATCTCTTAGTCAATCAAAAAAAGAAAACAAAGAAAAAAAAAAAGAAGAGAAAAAAGAAAATAATGATTCGTTCAAGAAAATTGTCTATTCAAGAAAAAATTAGAATTTTCTATCTCGTAATATTCAGTGTATATATATATATATATATATATATATATATATATATATATTCGTATTTAATTATTTTATATTATGTCAATGAAATATTAAAGCTTCAACAATCTAATATTTATAAAATGACATGAATAAATAATAGACATTTAATTTTTTTTTTTTTTTATGTACATTTATATATATATTCATATTTAATTATTTTATATTATGTCAATGAAATATTAAAGCTTCAACAATCTAATATTTATAAAATGACATGAATAAATAATAGACATTTAATTTTTTTTTTTTATATACATTTATATATATATATATATATATATATATATATATATATTTAAAGATAGAAATAAATTAGAATATAGACAAAAGATATTGGAATTATTTTAAAGGTAATCTTGTTGATATTATGTCTTATTTAAAACAATGAAGAAGAAGAAAGCAAAAAAAAAAGAATATGTTAATGATTAATCATACCTACCTAAATTCATAAAAGGCATTGTGAAATCAACTGCCTGTTCACGGTCGTAAGTAATGGTTAAATCAGCGATGGCGAGGTCGGCCTTTTGGTCTAGAAGCTCCTTCATCATCCCATCCCATTCCTTGGTCTGCTTATTGTACGAACCGTAACGGCCATCCGGCACTAGTCTGAAGGTATAATTGAAGCCGAGGATTCGCGATATCTCGTAAATCAAGTCGACGCTGTATCCCTCGAATTGCGCATTTCCGCTAAGCTTCTCACTCGAATCCTTCCGCATACAGTACGGAGCACTCTGTAGGTTAACGAGCATACGTAACGATTACTCGAATTTCTCTAAAATAAATGAAAGATTATTAAATTCTTTCTTTTTATTGCATAAACACATATGCAATATTATACAAGTGAAAATTTTACGACTCGAACATTTTAATATTCCTTCTTCTTCTTCTTCTTCTTCTTCTTCTACTACTTCTTTTTCTTACTTCTTTTTTTTTTTCTTTTCTTTTAAAATAAATTGATATTTATTTATCTGTTAATACGATAAATCTGTCAAATATTTTATAAATACTCATAACGAATAAATACGCATTATATCAAATTGATTCTTAAATAATTACTGTTATATAAATGGAAAATTTATTATAATCGAATGACATTTATTTATGAATCATATAAAGATGAATCGTATAAACAATGCACATGCAATTAATTCGATTTAATAGAAATATTATATATTACGGAATAGAAAATTATCGATCTATTTAACATTTCCGTCTCCTTTTTCTCTCTTTTTTTTCTTTTTTTTTTTAGAGAAGATAAAAAGTATAATACAGATTTGTATCAGTAAAAGGAGTAAATCTGTATGTTTCTAGGTTCTATCATAAGCATATTGAGTTGCCGGTTAACTTAACGTAAAGCGTGAAATTGCAAAATTCTACGAACCGAAACGACGAGAAGGAATTTACTAACGAACGATATAAGATTACGAACATCCGAGTAACTTCGAAGCAAAGCTAGTTATGCCTCCTTATCTTCGAAATTGTTCCTCGTACGCCGAAATATACGAATATGCGAGAGTTAAAAGGGAGAAGTGCTAAACTTTCACAGATAAAGGAGACATAAAAAATCGTAAAGGGGAAAAAAATATGAAAGAGGAACGACCGTAATTTTATCGACATAGAGTTACACGAAACGAGCACATTCGATTTTTTCTTTCTTTTGTCTCTCTCTCTCTCTCTCTCTCTCTCTTTCTATATGTAAACGTCCATACGTATGCAGATAGAAAATTTAGTTTAATTCAAATTTTTGTTAATAAAGAATTCGATATTAATTTTTATATTATATAATTTCATTAAAATAGAATTATAATTTTATATTAAATTTATTTTTTCTCTTGGAGGGAAAAAAAAAACCAAAGAGAAAACAAAAAAAAAAAAAGAAAAACAAAAAAAAAAGAAGAAAAAATTAAAGAAAGAAAGGAAGAATAATTAAGATCCCCTATACAAGATTATTATGAAGGAATATAAAATGAAATTTGACAGGCATACAAATGAGAATAGTAATGCTCTTTATGCGAATAATCTTGTATACGTATATATTTATATATATACATATATATATATATATATATATATATATATATATATATATAGTACTCTATAAAATATTCGAGGAATTCGTTTTGCAGCTTTACTTGGTTACTGCTGCGTGCTTTGAAAGACGAAACGCTGGAATGTAGTTAAAACCGAGTCATCGTACGCTTTATATGTTCACTAACGCGACCGTGTTATACGTCTTCGAGAGTGAAAAACATATTACATGTGTATATAGTACATATGTGTACGTGTACACGAGAAAGAAAGAGAGAGAAAGAAAGAGAAAGAGAGAGAAAGAGAAAAAGCTTACAACTGACAATGGAAGGCTTCTAGAGTTTATTACGTTCGCAAAGAAAATCGCATTCTCGTTCTTATCTCTTTGAACTTTCAATTAGTTTAAACGAATTACGACAACATTTGAAATAAATATTCCAATGTTTCATATCGCAAAAGGGAACGTCGAAATTTTTGGAATTTTATTATTATTGTTGTTGTTGTTGTTGTTGTTATTATTGTTATTGTTTTTTCTGTCTTCTATTTTTTTTTTTTTTTCGTTTCTTTTTTCTCTTTCTTTCTTTCTTTCAAATGTATTCTCAGATAAATATTTTTAAGTTTTTATTACAGATGCTATTACATAATGATGATATCGAATTTCGTATAAACCGTAAGGCATTTTCTCGGTAAACTTTGCGGCTTTGCACTTTCACGAAAACTTGCCGTATTTTGCCGTGAGTTTCTCTACGGTTAATACATTAGCGAGTACATTATGTGTCGCCGCAATTAGCGCGAGAATAAGTAATGCGCCTAGAGAGCTTCGCGAAAACTTCAATTAAGTCGACCTCCTGTACACCCTCTTTGCTCAATCTTTCATTCGTACGGGTAAAAAAAAAAAAAAAAGAAAAAAGAAAAAGAAAAAGAAAAAGTGGAACGAGGGAGTGGAAAAGAAAAGGGGTTGGCTTGCTTTCGCGTTTGCCTTGGATTAATTACTTTCTGTGTTATTAATGAAAAAGTGAAATTTGTATTTATTATACGTAATCATTCGCGACGTTAATTTTTCTAAGAAGTTTCATTTTTTTTCTTTTTTCTTTTTTTCTTTTTTTTTTTTGTTTATTCCCATTATTATTCTGCCATATTAATTTTCTGAAATGGAATTTATATCAATTATTATTGCATTATCAATCGTAATATAATTTATACGAATTGGATGTAATTCCTTAATCAGAAAGATTAAAAATGCAGGTAGAATTTTTTCTTGTTTCTTAATTAGAAAAAAAAAAAAAAACAGAAATAAAACGAAAAGAAGAAATAATCAAACGAAGAAGAGGAAGAATATAAAAGTAATTCTCACCAATATCGTTGTCACGATGAAGGTTTTGTTCTGTAAATTTTCGACGATTTGCGTATAAACGTCCCCGTAGCTTCTCGTAAAATTTATACCCTTTGTGCTGTTCCACGTACCGATCTTTTTCAAACCATCCTTATTATTAAGCTCAATAATATCAAGAATGAAATCCGAACGGAATCCTTGATGATCGAACTTAATGATACCGGTTAAACCGGTCATTTCGACCTGCAAACAAATGATCATTTTCTTTTATTTTTTTTTTTTTTATCATTATAAGAAATATATATGTTAAGGTAATATATCATGAAAATTCATATCAATGAGTTAACAGGAAGGAGGGAGACATCTTCGTAATCGATAGAAACCACAACGGAGACATATGGTGAGCGATAATGATTTGTTAATTATCGAGCATGTTGATTACAATCGTCAAATCATGAATATTATTTGATTGACTATGAGTATATTACGAAGTAACATTAAATCTATAACAATCAATAATTCTAAATATTTTATATTATATTTTATTATATTAAGGGATATCATATTATTTGGATAATAATAATTTGAAACATTGAAAAAATTTTTCATTTCATTTCATTCAGAGTTAATATAAAATTATATCACAATGATTGATTTTAATTTTGATCGATTTCGAAGATTATTGAAATAATTCGTACGTAGAAAATTTCATGATACGTAGAAACCAGAAGATGAGATCAAACTGAACGGTAGATTTCGAATTGGTGTGGCTGATATAAGCGTAGTAGGCAGTGGACAGGTTTCAACGGTGCAAAACCACAAGCGACAATTTGTCAAGGGAGTACGACGGCTTCGTTTAAACGGGAGTAACTTTCCATTGTTCTGTTGAACAATCGCTCCGTGTTCCTGTTGTACAGTGAAAGAGAAAGAGAGAGAGAGAAAGAGAGAGAGAGAGAGAGAGAGAGAGAGAGAGAGAGATGAATAAAGGTGTAGGGATGTATGATAAAGGGTGAAAAGGAAGAGAGAGAGAGAGAGAGAATGCATAGATCCGTTGTTGTGTTCACGTTCTCTAAGCCACACTATAGTTATCATGCACATGGCATCCATTACCTACATACACGCGCTCTAATGAGTCAGATTAGGCATATCCTTGTATATACATAATGGCTGATTACATTATAGAGGACCTATAGGGCAAATCAATAATTATAATATGAGAAAATGAATTTTATTATATTTCAAAATATATTCCCTGCAATATCCCTTTTGTGTTTCTTCCAATTAATAAACGACGAAATCGATCGTATCTATAATTTATATCACAATTTTGTTTCTTTTTTATTTATTTTCTTTTTTTTTTTTTTTGTTCATTTATTTGTTTGATGGAATATTTAAAAATATATTTTCAAGTGCATCGAAGAAATGAGAATAATGACAAATGATAATGATAATTCTTTCGATTGATAATAATTGTAATTATTTATGATATATCAGAGTCAAGGTGTAATTGTACTTACAATTTTCATGTAATTAATTAAGGAATATCCATGAGGCCAAGTGTCCGTTGATTCACAGGAAAGTGGTTTAATGTCGATCTGTTGAGAAGTATCCAGATCGTGTAATGCCTTTGCAAAAAGATGTACGGCATCGTACATCAAAGAGGTTTCAGTCTGAAAAATTTGAGATAACGAATTAACGAACGTACGAAGTAAATGTAAAAGAAATGCGAGAGCAATGGAAGTAATAAAGGTTGAAATAAAAAGAAAAAAAGAAAAAAAAAAGGAGAGAAAAAAAAGAGAGAGAGGGGAAAAAAAGACAACTAGAGGAAGAAACGAAAATACACGAGATGAAATATTCGTCTTTATGAGATGACAATAAATCTGCTTTCCTTTCCGATGAATTTTCACGACTGGTTGATGTCTCCAACTTCCGGTTCATCATATTTCGTAACTCACGTTATATGTTAGTGCCTGCTGTAAAAAAGCGATATCGTGTCGTATATATTGCTTGGGTGGCCATATATATATATATATATATATGAGCCAACATTCGGGAGAGCCAATATCCTTACATGGCTTTACGAGCCCTCGTCGACACGAATGAGAACTATTTACGAAATAAAGTCGATATACTAAATCCGAACACGCGTTAACAAACACGCGACTGATCTACTTCGTATTCTATTCCATAGTTTTTCCTCAAATGAAAATATAAACGTAAATGGTTTGTCAAGAAATTTTCACAAAAAGAATTATTACAATATTTATTATTGATGATGTAGTAACGAGTTTATTAACGATCGATCAATTATCACGTTAATTTTAATTTTAATTTGCCAAGTCAAAAGCGTTTATAACGATATAACAATATTCGTATATCAATTTAATCGGAGCATTGAAAAAATTTCTAATAAATAAAATAACAATAATGAATTTAATCTCAGAGAGAGAAAGATGGACAACTTTTTGACGAAGAAAGAGAAAAATAAGAAAAGAAAAAAAAAATAATAAAAAGAGAAAAAAAAGAAGAGAAAAAAGAAAATAATTTCAAACATATGACAATTTATGTTTTCATTTTGTCCTCTATATTCTTCGGAAAATTGATCGTATCGATTAATAATGATCATTTAAAAGCAATATTCGAGGAAGAAGGGAAATGTACGATCGTAGTATCGTGCAATTTGATGTTATCGAGTAACGAGCATGTACGTACACTTTCGATATCCATTTCCGCATTGGCGCCCGCATGGCTATCTATTTGGATGGAGGACTTGCTCGATGATCAGAATCGAACACGCTCAGACCACTAATAATTCACTAACAATGAAACAATTAGATGCATATTCAAGCACTTTACATGACGCCAATGGATTGTATGGATATCGAGAGAAAAGTTCTTTCTTTTCTTACCTTTATGCACGTCAGATTGTTCTTTAGTAACCGAACATGTAACAGAAAGTAAATAAATAACAATTATTTAAGTGACATTAGAGAAAAGAGAAAAGGAAAGAAAAAAAAAAAAAGAAAAAAAGAAAAAAGAAGAGCATAAATTTTCCCGTGAAAAATTATTAAATAAATATGAACGTAGTATATTTATTTAATAGCCGTGAGATATTGTCGAAATCGATTACCCCGAGTATATCAAAGTCAAAGTTTACTCGAGCTTTTTATCAATTGAAAAAATAAATAAAAACAAAAAAAAAAAAAAAAAAGGAAGATAACACGATATCATAAAACTATGATTAATTTAATTGACAGATCAACGTTCAAAGTGTCTTGTCATATTCTCGATCTAATCAAAAAGATATTTTTCTCTATTGTTATTATTGAACGATTTATTAGACAACAAACAATGGAGCTTCATCATCCATGTTTTCAATTTTTTCATCGTAGTTATGTTAGCCGTGACGTTAACGAGCATAACTTTATTAAATTTAATAATTATGACGATATTAATGTCGACAAAAAAAGAAAAAAAAATTTGGTTGCTTTAGACGTTTTTGATGGACGGTTGGACGATAACGTTCCCTCGAATTGACACATTGAATTATTTCCGATGAGAATTCGTATAAAAATTAAAAAGCATGTTCGACATTCAGAGTGTCCTCTTACAAAACGGTGTAACGAAAATTTTCACGTTATATTTCCTGCCTGTCGATAACAACGACTCATCCAGAGTTCCATCCTTAATTGAATCAATATATCGGTGAATCGTTGGATGTGATCGAGATAATTAGTTTGGCTGTGTCTACCATCTCTCTCTCCATTTTTCTTTTTTTTTCTCTCTCTCTCTCTCTCTCTCTTTCACCCTCTCTCTCTCTCTCTCTTTCATTTCTTTTTTTTTATTTTTTATTTCCTTGATAATTGCGTCATTAATACTATTTGAGCTCATTCGTAATTTTACACTGTAACAATGATTTGTAAGATGCATAGTCTCTCTCTCTCTCTCTCTCTCTCTCTCTCTCTCTCTCTCTCTTTTCTCTCATTTTAATCTATGTTAATATAAAATTATTAATCACAGTTAAATCGAATGTCAAAGATTTTAAATAAAAAAAGTGAAAATTCAAATTAATGAACACGTAATAAACAAATATTCGTTCAAATGCAATAAAAAAAAAAAATGAACTCAAATGATAATTATTAACATAATTCAATTAAAGTGAAATAGAATAAAGTAAGTGGTTTAATAATGCATTTTACGAAGAAAGAAACGTATGACGGGTAATGATCATATCGATAATTGATTTTATAAAATAAAATGTAATTAAATATTATATATTCGGGACAATAAGTTAGAAAAAGCATTAGGCATTTCATCGAAAAGATAAATACAATTTTGAATTATGTTAAATGAATTACCACTTTGTGATTAAAAATTTAACAATTATATCATAATTTGATACGAAAGAAAATCACATCCATTTAATAATAATTTTATATAATGAATAAGTAAATAAATAAATTGAGAAAAAGAAAAAAAAGAAAAAAAGAGAACAAAAAAAGAACAATTTTCAAACTTCCTAACAAAGTATGTTCAATTACTACGTCTTTGTTTTTTCGTATAATCGATTCAACATATCCACGTCATCTCTGTTTTATCGATTATCTCGTCGGCTATGAAGAAAGTGGGATCTGAGATTTATTTCGCCATAGACCCTCTCGCATATGGTACGCGCATATAACTTTGACGGCGATACTTTATCCTCTCGTAATAATCTTATAAATTCCACGATGCGTTGTAACGCGTGCTTTCGTGGACGCGCCATGCTCGAGAAATATTATCGCATGGCGCTTGATCGTCTCGATATTGATCTGAACCGGTGCCAAGTGATTCGAGACGATCGTTGTGATATCGTCGACGACATATATATCTTTATATGTCATATATAAGGTAGAGGAGGAAAGAGAGAGAGAGAGAGAGAGAGAGAAAGGGAGAGAAAGGGAGAGAGAGAATTTATATAAAATGTAATATTCGTCGTTTTAATAATTATTTCTGTTCACTAATAATATTCTTTTATTATAATAGATAATTCCTATAGAATAGTATACCTTAAGTTCATTATCGTTTTATTATTACTCCATATATTCTTCTTTTTTCTTTTTTCAATTAAAATTGTTTTCGTTTAAAATTTATTTAAAAGAAAGAAAAAAAAAGAAAATAAAAAAGGAACAAAAAAAAGAAAGAAAAAAGAAAAGAAAAGAAAAGAAAAAAAAAGAACGAAAAAAGAAAAAACTTTGACGTTCAACTGGAAAATATTTCTTCAAATAAATCCGTACGAGTTTATTATAATCGATGACAATTTAATTCTTTAATTTGCATTTAACAAATTGCATTCGTTGTAAATAAATCGATGACGATGGATAGTATTATGACGTTATATAATTTCTTTTTCCTCCTGGAAATAATCGTTTCGAATTGTTATCGTATTAAATGATAAAAAAAAAAAAAAAGAAAAAAAAAAGAAAAAAAAGAAAAGAAAAGAAAAAAAAAAGAGAAACAAAAAGAAGTAGAGAAAAAAAAAGGAAAATAGAAAGAGAGAAATTAAAAAATATATAACGATAAAAGATTCTAATGGAAACTGCAATTTTCACTATCCGACGGAGACAGAGTGATCGGTTCAATGCCTTCCATCCACGTTTATCCTTTCCCCAAAAAGATAGATGGTCCTCTGGTTCTATAGATCTCTCGTCTCTATCGAAGCTAACCATAACCTTCGCCACATGCGAGACTCTTCGCAATAAGTCCCATTCACACCGTGCCAGCATTTCACCGATGTTCCCAAGTAAAACGAGATTTATCTTAATCACTATGTCAATGTACTATTATAGAAAATCCGTTTTCATTTTTCACATACATACATACACAGGTATATATATATATATATATATATATATATAGGTATATACATATTTTTCTCTTTCTCTCTTTTTCTATCTTTCTCTCTATATCTATTTATCTACTTGAAGAAAGTATGATCAATGGTCAAAGTCATCTTGAAAATATCAAGAATCTATTGGCAATTAAGCAAAATCATTCTCAAAGAGTAAATTCGAGAGAATCTTGAAATCAAGATCGCCCAAAAATCTCAAAGCTTACGAATATATATATATATATATAAATATATATATTATATATATTAGATGTGTATGTGTATGTGTGTATGAGTGAGTACCTCGATCTTCCATCCCTCAATAAGCACAGTCGTTTTCATCACATTATGAACAGGTCAGAGATCAAACGAGCAAACGTGGCTTTCACTGAAAAGCAAGGAACGAACGAAAGGCAAAGGGACAAAAAGAAAAAAAAAAAAAAAAGAAAAGTAAAGAAAAAGAAAAAGAAAATGGATGAAGGAAAGAAGGAAAGAAGGAAGGAAGGAAGGAAGGGCAAAAAGCAAAATGTCCCCATGATACTATGTGGTATTCTCCCTTAGGCCAACACTTCATTACCCGTTACTTCCAGTGCTATCTATTCGCCTCTTCCTTTCTAAAACTAGTCTTTGGAATCCCAGCATTTTCCATCTCTTTAACGTTTCTGATCAAATAAAAATCTGATGAAAGCTAATAGTTTTTCCTTTTTTTTTCTTTTCTTTTTTTTTTCTTCTTCCTTTTTTCTGTTCCTTTTTTTTTTTCCTCTTTCATATCAGATGATTAATATCATTCGTAATATTACGATGCATTTGTATGTCTTTTTAAAGTACAATAAACTTGATATATATATTTTTTCCTCTAATAATAATATGATACTCAATACGATCATGCGAGATAACATTTTTAGATACGTTTAGATGATATAATATTTGATAATTATAATGATTAATGTATATACACACACACACACACACACACACAGACACACATATATACACGTATATATATAATTTTACATTAGGAATAAGAAATATCGAAATATAGTTTTGCCTGATCATGACTTGGAATAATTACATTGTCAGCTAAAACCAACGATACAAGATAGTCGTCAGAGTGTCGCACGTGCCAATGTCGCTCGTTTCAAAAACCCCTATCCAACCTCCTCTCAACACCGTCATAACGACGTATCACGCAGCGTCGGCAAAAAGTTATCCGAGAAACTTGTTACGAACGGGTGCTATTGGCCAAACCTAGGATATCCCCAATTCTGTTGGTTTTAAGGATAAGAAAAAGTATTTCTAACCGGTGGCAGATGTTGTCTGTTACGTAGGAAAACGGTTAAATGTCGGGCATCGCTTTTCTCAACTTTTCGGTAGTTTCGAATGTTGCCGTGGCAGATGCAAGAGACGATCCACAATCTGTGGACCTTTGTGGGCCATCTAACGAGAACCGAGCAGATTTCGAGGCCGTCGTTAATTGCACGCTCGAGTTGTTTAGTCTCACTCCTAGAATTTCCTCTCCAAATATCCTCGAGTTTGTTTCGCGAAACTCGTTCAAGGTGTCCGAGATTCGTTCATTACACTTACCAATTAACATTTCTCTGAATGGGACAACCACGAACGCATCACTGTTACACCAAACAGTTTCTAATTTTGTCCTTTTACAAATAGATTAGCCGTAATAATGATCAAATGAGATTATTTATATCATAAAGGACATGGGGAATTAAGGTTCAACATTTAGATATTAAATAATAATAAGAAAAAATATTTAATTAATTAAATCAATTGAAATCTAAAAACAACTATTACCGATCATGGTTTATTGATAAATGATTAAAAAAAAATTTGTTCATCTTTATATCGTAATACTTTTTAAATTCTTTTTAGTAAAATTTTATAGAAATTTAATAAATATTTTATACACTAATGTTCGATATTTCTCGATACAATTGATTTTGTAATTTATTACCTATTCGTCATAAATAAGCTCCCGCGATCTCGTAATTCAAATACTGTCAAGCCGGAGAATTTGAAAATAGGCGATCATCCACGATAGCGACCTTTTATCCACCTTCAATCATATATATATATATATATATATATATATATATATATATATATATATATATATATGTATTTAATCGGAAAAGCTTATAAATGCTATTTTATCACGATCGATAGATCATTGACGATATATACATAAGTGTTGGTATGTACATATATATATATATATACATTTAACCTGGTTACACATTATATGTAATGTATGTGTGCGAGCTTTGTGATATGGCTCATTTAATCGATATAAACGTTCGGATCTATGGGTTATTCTATTGCAGTATTATAATTGCATAATGCGCGTTGATTATCGTCAATACTAACAATAAATTAATAGAAAATTTAAACGTCATCTTACTATACATATATCGTACACGTCGACGTTCCTTTTTAATCTTTTTAAAATCTATCAATTTTCCTTTTCGATCAATTCTATTTTTTCTATCTTTTCTTTTCCTTTGTTTTTTTTTTTTTTGAAATCCTTTTCATTTGGGTAACAGTAATTTTTCTTACTTTGCGTTCTCTTCTTACAATCGTAACGTCAAAATCGTGATCTCTTAACTTCCGTTCCCATCGAATCCGATCATCCAACGAATGAATCCACTATCGAACATGTGATTTATATGTCTATATACGTATCCTACGTAGATACCACGTAGAGCAAGATCGAGTACGAATCCGTTCGCAAACTGGCAGGATTCGCGAGGGTAGATTTATCGTCTTCGCGTCATTGTCCTGGAATTCATTCGGATCCGATCTAAACGTGACGGAGTATAGCGGAGTCGCACTTTCGAAGACAGATCGCGTGTTCGTTAACCCAAACGAACGATTTATTACGGTTGGCAATGACTATCTCGTGCGATAGTCGCTAATTGCGAGCAAATGACTAATCGCCCTCGATTCGACCATACTCTCTCACGTTGTAAACTCCTTTTACTCTTCTAACTTCTCCTATCCCTTCTTACCCTTCTCCCCTCTTCCCTTCTCCTATCCATGACTTCCTTCTTCCTTCTCACTCTCCATCTTCTTCCTTCATTCCATCCATCAAGATTATTTCCAAGATGAGACGTACGACTAGCAGCTCGTTCTATCTTGTAAATCGATTCTCGCAAACATCACACGCACGTTAACTTCTAACGTAACGTTCTAACAATATTATTTCAAAACTATCATGTTCCGTCATAAAAGAAATTTTTACAATTATCTTAGATCGTTCCTTAAGCGATGATAATTACATTAATTACGAACTAACGATAGATTTTTCTTTATTCGCAAAAATTAAATTCGATCGAGCCGTCTGAAATACTTCGTGCGATATTATACTGTCTGAAAACAATCAATGTCCCGTAGTACACTCGTCAATAATTGTAGTTGCGTGCGCAGTTGTGTATTGATATAAAAAAACAAAAAACAAAAAACAAAAAACAAAAAACAAAAAAAACAAAAAAAAAACATAAAAAAAACATGAAAAAGAAAAATCTTTAAAATTCAATATCACCGTGCTTTATTGTACTTTTATTTGACTGTCTATGTAAAACTGTAGAGGAATTTTCCTAACGATTATTAAGAGCGTTGCCTTGTCTCAGGCACAATTTACAATTAATACGTATACATTTGAATTCCGTGGAAACTAGAATGATATCGTTATTAAAAAAATCTTGATGAAAAAAAAGAGATAATAATCGTTAATAAAAATTATCAGAGATAGATATAAATTAAATATTTTTAATATCGTTATATGTAATCTACGGTAAAAAAAAATTGTAATAAAATTTTCAGTTTAACAATAATATCCATTCTTCCTTCTTTACTTATACTTTCGGGAGTTTCAAGAGATTGTATCGTTCAAATATGGGAGAAGAGACACGATTAAAGGTACGCGTATGGAGCTAGAACTCTCATGCGTTTTCGTCCATATAGTTCGAGGGTTGGAGGATAGCTAGGGACTCTAGACCGTGCTAGGTATTCCTGTTTAATTAGAGACGTTAGCATCTATGTTTCCCTTGTGCACTTGAGTTCTGGGCAAATAGTTCGCTCGATCTAGCCCTTCTCCAATGGGCTTTGTACACGCACGACAAGCTTACTAGCCCAAAAGGCGTGTACCATCCTCGTTGCAATTGCACCACCATCAGCACCAGCTTTGCCTTCCACACGGTATTTGCATTCTTATGAGCAGCAGCAGCCTCTCTCTCTCTCCCTCTCTCTTTCTCTCCCTCTCTTTCTCTCTCTGTATCTCACTGCCTGCCTATCTCTCTGCCTCTTTCTCTCTCTCTCTCTCTCTCTCTCTCTCTCTCTCTCTCGCAGTTTCTCCCGACCGAGCTACGAAATTCAATTTCCCTCGTGAACTTTTCAATCGGCTACGTCCAATTATCGTGACTTCGCTCAGTTGGGTTCTGTAACGATCGACATGGTCCTACTACGTTTTTTTCGATAAAAATTTCTCTCCTATTTTCTATCTCCACGGAGACTCGTTCAGAGTTTAAATCTCGTAACTGCGTGGCCCTTTACTCATTGATTCATGGATTATGCGTTTAATCGTTTTAACCAGGTAGTTAAATAATTTTCAATCTCTAAAATATCTTTCGAATGGAATGATAAAGTTAATTGTTAATTCTTTTAAACGACCGATAAAAGAAATTAATTCATATCTCAAATGGTAATATTTTTATCGTATCATTCATAAAAAATTAACGATGAAAAATGAAGTTTACTTTTTCATTATAATGAAATTCTACGTCTAATATTTTCTTTATAAATGAAAATATTGATTAAATTGAAAACCCTCTATAATCGTAATATTTGAATTTCTTTTATTTATTTTCAAATCGATTAAGTCAATCGAATAATTGAAAATTTTTGATGGTGGCAATTTAAAAATGTCAGGATGATTTTGCAATCGAATTAATTGAAATTAATGAATTAAAAATGGTTATATATTGAAGTCAATTATATCTATTCGAGTCGTGTGTGTAGAAGAAATATGATTTAATCAATGCACACGCTCGGTTTTGAGTTTGCAACCGTAAGTCCGGTTCTGTGGAGAATGGGGTTAGGAAGATAGAACGATAAATTTGAGAAACTCCGAAACTGCTGGGGCTTTCTCACCTTATTAGATGCCTGGCCCATGTCGAGTTCACGATTATAACGCTTCTCACCATAGATCCAGTCTTGTACAACTCGCTGAATCTCTGGCTTTTCTGGATCAACCAGACGGAAGGCAGTGATATTGGTCCCGCCGTGTTTAAATTCTTCTAAATCGACGCTATGAAGATCCTGCGTGAAACGAAATTTACATTAATATATTAAATTTCATTAAACTATTCAAACAGATTATTATATATCTCTCTCTCTCTCTCTCTCTCTCTCTTTCTCTCTCTCTATTTCTCTCTATCTTTTCATATATTAATAACTGATACAATAATATACATTCTCTTGCATTATGAATAAAATCTATTTATCTGTCTATCAATATTATTAACATTAAATTTATTGATATTGATATTATATTATTATCATTATCACATTGCTCATTGTATTATAATCATTATTGTTTTATCCAATATATCGTCAATTCTGTGAAAATTCGTTTCAACAATACTGTTTAATGTTATTGACAATAAAAAAAAAATTATATATATATATATATATATATATATATATATATATATATATGATGAATTTATTATAACATCTCTCAAATTTTATCGATCTTATTTTTTCCTTTATTTGAATTCTAGTAGGATAATCTTTCCTTTCAAGTTTTCTCGCGGAATGAACGCGGAGCTAAGATCTCAATTTTGTGGATTTACCCAAGCGACCACCGTGAAAGCCTCATTTCCAAAGTACTCGCATATTGAACAGATTATGAAAAGTTGGCAACGATATGGCCGATCAAACTTTACTCAGTGATAGTGTAAAATCTAGGATTTAACGTCGAATAATAACTCTCGGTGAAGTATAATTACATTCTCGTTGTGCATGGAAACGACCGACAAATTTCCCAACGAATAGCTCGTTACTTTGACTGTGAAATAAACTCACTTTCTCTCTCTCTCTCTCTTTCTCTCTTTCTCTTTCTCTTTCTCTTTCTCTCTCTCTCTCTTTCTCTTTCTCTTTCTCTTTCTCTTTCTCTCTCTTTCTCTCTGATTTTGTTTTTCTCTCTTTCTGTCTCCCTTTCTCTTTCTCTTTCTCTTTCTCTTTCTCGTTGACTTTAGTCCCGAAGTTATAATGTACTTTGTCAATATACATATGTACCACGTAGAACAAGTAATAATTAAATCAGATCGTTGTGTATGTGTGTTTCTCTTTTTTACAAAATTAAAATTAATTATGTATAATTAATTATAAGGAAATATTTCTCAAATTCAAACTTCTCGTAACGTTCTCTTTTAATTAACGAAAGAAAATGAAAATAATAATAATAATATTAATATTAATAATATTAATAATAATAATAATAATAATAATAATAATAATAATAATAATAATAAAGAAAAAGAAAAAAAAGTTTCGATTAAAGTTCATTTTAATTGCAATTAATAACAGATCAATATATACCAGCGACAAATTGGCTCGTAAATGACTTGTTAAAACGTTCGTAACTCGTCTCTTACGCATTTCTTTTTTTCTTTCTTTCCTTTTTTCTCTTCTGTTTTTTTTTTCTTTCTTTTTTTTTTTTTTTTTTTAACCAAACCAATCATCCATCGTCACACACGGGCATTTATTCGGTTCGTGAGTCGGCATAAACCCCTTCTCGAAAATAATGGTACCGATCGTACGCGTTAAACTTAACGAACTTCGTTTGTTCGCCGATAGCAAATCGATCCGTGGGTCGTTTCGTGTTCCTATGAGAGAGAGAGAGAGAGAAAGGCAGAGAAAAAAGAAGAACAAAGAAAAAGAGAAAGAGAGAAAAAGAGAGTGAGAGAGAGAGAGAGAGAGAGAAAGAAAGAGAAAGAATAAGGAAAGCAGAAAAACGAGGGAAAACCTTTTGCGATACAACGTGCGTTTCGAGTTAATTGCCAGCTTCAGAGTCATCGAAAATTGATGAAAGGAGAAGAAAGGAAAGAAAAGAACAAAAGAAATGTGAAAGAGTGAGGGAAACTTTAGCCGCGAGGAAAATCTTCGAATAGTGATTTCCTTTCTCATCAAATTAAAGATAATGATCAAAAGAGATTTTGAATCGTCATTCATTCTTGCGTACATATATGTATATATATATATATATATACATACATATATAATGTAGATAATGTATATACCATATATGTGTATGTGGGTATATATATATATATATATGTATTTTAGATCTTTTCTTTCCAGAAGAAACGAGATGAACGGGAGGAAGTCATTTATTATTCTTTGTGTCCAGCAACACCTGTTCGATAAGTTTAAAAAGTCGATCAATCGGTGATCTATCATCCAACTGTCTCGAATCTTTCCCCATTCTTTTTTTTCTTCTTCTTCTTCTTGTTTTTAACACTGGTAATACTTCTTGTAATAAGAGACGAAGCAACATCGAGAAAAAAACATTGTAACCTTACTGCCATTTTTATAATCGTTAGTCAACTTTAACCTTTTTCTTTGTTAAGCTAAGAAAAGTTTTTCTTGAAAAAGAGACAACGAGCTGCTTTTCTTCTCTCCCCCCATCTTTTTTTTTTTTCTTTTTTTTTATATATATATATTTTCTTTTTTTTCCTTCTTCCCTTTTTCTTTTTCCTTTATTTCTTTCTTCTTCTTTTTCTTTTTTTTTTTTCTTTTTTCTTTTTTCTTCTTCTTTTTAATACAGCACAATATTTTCGAACAAGAGTGGTTCGCAGCTTCCGCCTTACGAGACTCACGATTTTTCTCGTCGATTATCGTCAAAAATAGGCCAATCGCAGCTTGGCTTCTCCCTCGACGACACTCGATGCTACCCGAGACGCTCTCGATATCGATGCGATCGATAGAGGTGAAGAGAAAGATAAAAAAAAACTCGGATGAGATGATGCGAGTGAAATCGAATAATAATCATTAGAATTTAAAATATATATACATATATATATATATATTTTGTACATATATATTGTACATATATTGATTATATTATACATATATATAATGTACATATATTGTACATATATTGATTATATTGTATATATATATTGTACATGTATATTGATTATATTGTACATATATATTGTACATATATTGATTATGAATGCACATTTTTTTCAATTTAATCTTTAAATATCGAAAGAACTCTTATTGTCTTATGCATGACACCTATTGTATTATTGTATAATACGATTGAGCAAAAGAGTTTATAAGAAAAAAAAAAAAAAAAAGAAAAAAAAAAAAAAAAAATAGAAAAATAAATCAATTTTAATTGTAAATAAATTTTCCATGTTTTTCAATTCAGTTCTATTTCACTTTATCTGATAATATTTGTCAAATGTTAAATGGAAATTATTGAACGATTTTTTAATTACTTCTCATATGATGATAACGATCGATTAAATGATATCTTAAATTTTTAAGAATTATATTTAGAATCGTTTTACGATCGTAATAATCGACTCTCTCTATCTCTCTCTTTTTCTCTATCTCTCTCTCTCTCTCTCTCTATCTCTCTCTTTCTCTCTCTCTCTCTCTCTCTCTCTCTCTATCTATCTATCTATCTATAATATCTTCTAGTTTAATGACGTTTTAACGAAGTGACCAATTTATCAAGATACTCGGAACGATAATGATCGTATGAAACCGGGCAAAATCATGCATGCATATGAAAAAGCGTCGACGTAACATTGACGATATTAAACAACCACAACTAGAACACGAAGGGCTGATCCTGGACTCTCATAGCTATTACGTGGCCTGATAGACGCGAACATAATAAGAACCTTAATGGCGATGAAAGCTATCACGATGATAACAATCGTCGTAACCATAACAAGCATAACAACCATAATGACCGGCATCGTTCTATCTCGCTTATAATACGTTGCCCCTGTTTAAATATCAAAGATGTATTCTGATTAAGTTTGTCAAGTTTACACCAAGTTTCACTAAGTTTCACAAATGCGCCCAGAAATGCAATATACGAATGCATTCGTGTTACTGTCTATTAATTAAAGCTGAAAATACATAAAGCTAATGTAACTATGAAAATCGATGATCAGTCTGATAATTTGAGAAAAAAAAGAAGTAATAAAAAAAAAAAAAAAAGAAAAGGAAAATTAGATTACGATAACAATACAAACACGGAGAAGTTGTAATTCTTTTCTTTTCTTTCTTTTTTACTTTTTTTTTTTTTTTTTATTCTTTTTTTCTTTTTTTTTTTTATAAACTAATTCCCAAATTGAATTATATACTCTGTAATAATAAAAGGATATAAAGAGAGATTATTACTACGGTCATTCTGTTGAAAGGTAACACGATTCATAATCCTGATCGAAATCCGTTTCATTGAATTCTGGATTTCCTCTCATTTCTCGTCAAGTTTTTCTAAGAATGATTATCTACGACTAAAGCTCGTCTTATTGTTCGACGAAAAATCGATTATCCTCTTCTATCTATTTCTATATTTTTCTCGTAACAATGTCAATCGAAATAAATGGTTATGGATCTTTCATAGATCAAAGCGAACGAATAAATATTATACAATATACCAATATTATTTTCGATATCTTAACAAAAAAAAAAAAGAAAAAAGAAAAAAGAAAGAAATAAAAAGATAAATCTAAACCGAACACAAAAGGTTATTTAACTTAATATAAATCGATGAAAGATAATTTTCATTATAATAATTCTGATATAAATCTGTTTTATCGAAATTTCAATTTCGTATAACTCATCAAGTTTTTCTAACAACGATATAAATTCGTTTTACTAATCGAAGAAAAAATCAATTCTTTCTCTCTTATTCTTACTTACTCTCTTACTTTTCCTTTCTCGTAACATCGTTAATCGAAATAATCCAACTCGATAGATTCCGCGATTAGAGGAAGGTCCTTTGCTGGTCCTTTTAAAGACCGGCAGAGCATTTAACGCAAGGAGACGGCGGCAATTAAGTGGGTGCCAGGCGAACTGCGACCCTTAACAATTCGTTCGTAGGTCAGATCTACGGGGTAAACTACCCTTCCCTTCATTCTCCAACATCTACTGGTCGTTGAGAAGAGCCGAGTCAACAGGAAGAGCCCCGAAGAAAGCATACCTCCGGCCCTACCGTCTGAACAAATACCCGCGCTAATTTACATTTTAATGGATCTAAATTGAAATCTGCTGAGAGACCGCGAGATAAATCGTTCCATCGCGAAGCTACGATTATATAAATATACATATAAGGTCTTGAAATTTCTTCCACTATATATATATATATATAATATGTATATATATATATATATATATATATATATATATATACATATTTTTTTTTCTTTTCTCTTCCCATTTTTTTCCCTCCTTTTTCTCTCAATTTTCTTTCTTTTTTTTTCTTTCTTTTTTTTTCCATCCTTCCTATGTAACACAATCTATACATTTTTTTTTGAAGTGAGAAAGCCGAAGATAGATAAAGACAGATAGTGTATGCTAAGAAAATAATACAAAATCTAATAAAATATATAAAAATTAAAAAGAGATAGAGAGAGAGAGAGAGAGAGAGAAAGAGAGAAACGTTGATATTGTTAACATAACATAATTAATTACGAAAATATATCTTTTAAAGATCAATATAAAACGATAAAATATAAATCTTTTATTATCTAGAAAAAATATGTTCGGAGATGAAAAGAGAGAGTGAACAGAAAACAAGAGAGAAAAATTATTTTCTCTTAGGGCGTGAAAATAGTTTACAAGACAAACAGCTGTTTAGAGACGATTTAAAGTACAGCCGAAAATGAAGTATTATTAGATACCGTAACAATTTCGTAATAGTGTTACTTTATTTTTCATCATTCTCTTTTCCTATTTTCTCTCTCTCTCTCTCTCTCTCTCTTTCTCTCCTTCTCTCTGACTTTTATCGTATTTCCCAAGAGAATTATCAGTTTTAATTACTTCGAAATTTAATCGTCGTTCGTTATCCTCGTTAGAGAACTCGATGAAGAGCCATTAAAGTGAGAATTGATATATTGAGATACAATATTTCGAAATTGATATTATTGTTAATGAATTCGTTCAACGAAATCTTGGTTTTTGAAGTGAGAAAAAATACCCGCTTAGTTTCGGATAATATGTTACAAATCCACGAGATCAAATTGATTCGATACATGTACATTTGATCTCAAAACGATTCTGACTCGTTCTGAATCCTCCTTGAAATTCCATTGGTGCGATCTCGATTCGAACTTGAATACCGATCAAATATTTCCCCCCCTACCTTTCCCCATTGGTACTTTCACCTTTCAATTTGAAAAAAAAAAAAAAAAAAGCAAAAATTCCAATCAATAATTCCCAAAACTATACGTATTTTGTTATGGCATTGTCGTAAATCATTTCTCTTTATAATCAACTTTTTCTTCATTCATTCTTTTTTTTTTCTTTTGAACGACTATTACATTTCTATATTTTCATTTAATTTTTTTTGATCCTCTTTTATCTTTTTCTTATAATTTTACAAAAGAAAAGTTAATAGGACATTGGGGAGGGTCGTTTCTCGGAAAGAAAGAAAGAAAGAAAGAAAGAAAGAAAGAAAGAAAAAAAAGAAAGAAAAAATTTGCAATACCGACAATCGTACTTTTTATCCGAACGTGAAAACCATGAAAAAGGAAATGTGTATCCTTCTTCTTCTTCTTCTTCTTTTTTTTTTTCTTTCTTTTCTGTTTTTTTTTTTTTTTTATTTTTCTTTTTTTTCTCTCCTGTTTTTCCCCTATCTCTCGGTAGACGTCTAGAAAAATCGCAAAGAGACTCTTCCACGTCGATGCAAGAGGAAAGATTTCGATAAGAATGGATATCGTGAGACACAGAGAATCCGACGATATTGCGAAGATCGTTCGGCCGAGCATTCTGGCACGAAACACGTACGAAGCTTTCCTCTGGCACCTTATTTCTCTTCTCTTTTACACCAATTCCTTTTTCCTCTTTCCATCATTCCCCCTATCATTCGTCATTGTCTACTTCCCTCTCATTCTTTCCACTTTCCACTTTCATTATTACCTTGACAGATTTCCTATTTAATTATCTCTTAATTATTAATACTTGTAATATTCATGGGTAATGTCATTGCTTTTTCCTTTTTCTTTTTTTTTTTTTTCATTTTCTTCTTTCTATTTCTTTTTTTTTTCTTTTCTTTTCTTTTCTTCTTTTATCTTTTTTTTCCTTTTATCCGCCAGAAATAGTCTCGCGATAAAAAATGAACGGAGTACGAATGTATTTCTTACGACATAAATGCGACGTAACATTTATTATTTATTTCAATTTTTATTAAAAAAAAAAAAAAAAAAAAAAATAAAACTTCGTATAATAATAATAATAATTATATCGAGTATCAAATTTTTTTGTGTATTTCTTACAACATATTTGTACGCAACTCACGGATGTATTCTCTACTTATCGTCAGCGATGTGCAAAGGAAATTGATCGAGGGGTTAAATAAGAGGGTTGAAGATACATAAAAATCCCCATATATATATATATATACACATACATACATATAAATATATATGTATGTATTGTATATACACATACAAGCGGAAAACGTGACTCAAAGTGATTTTTGTAATTTTCTCCTAATTTTTTCGCTCTTCAAGAAAACCAAGATCAATTTTCATTTTCACTTCTCTTTTTCTCTTTCTATATGCATATTTTTGAAATCATTTTATATCTCCTTCTTTTTTTCTTTCCCTTTTTCTCTCATTTTCCTAAATTTTAAATATCACAACGAACCGACATAGAAGCCAACGGTTATTTCGTTTTGCTATCAGCCAACTGGATTATCGTTGGTACTAATGCTATTACGTTACACGAATACCTTTACATATACTCGGTGGAATAGTTACAACGTGCTTTGAAATACGCAAATTTTTCAAAATAAAATAATTCAATATACGCGTAGGAGGAAGATTCGAGTTTCGTGATTTATAAAAAATTTATTAATGAAGTCACTTCGTTATATTTAATAAGCTACACGAATACGAATAATTAGCTGAACGAACAAAATTTACATTATTATGCTTTTCAGAGAGAGAGAGAGAGAGAGAGAGATAGTTTATTCAGTATTTTTAAATGAATTATTCCAATTTATCCGTATATTTTATTTCAAGATTAACTTTAAAAATTAGAAGAATACATTGGAGATGGTAAATATACTTTTTTTTTTTTCACGATGACCGTAGAAATCGTTTAAACATGTATAGCTCGTTCATGAAAGCACAAGTATATATATATTTTACGTTCGTTCCTATATCTTATCGCGCATACTACCAGACCATCTTGATTCACTATTCCGTGAATAATACGATCAGCCAGTCCACATTTTTTTTTTCCTGGATACACGAAGAAAACCCGGAAAGCGAAATACAATTTTCTTTATTCTTTTGACGGATAACTCTGCATTATTTACTAAATAAAATATATCGTATGAGAGATTATAAAATATGCTTGAGAAAATTGCAAATAACTGGGAAAGAAAAAAAAGAATAATTGACAAATACATTGAATTTAAAATAAATTACAAAATCACATATATTAAACTGTAAATTTTTAACTTCACAATGCATTATTTAATTTTTTTTTTTTTTTTTTTTTTTTTTAATAAATTCATAAAGAAACAAACATTCTATTATCTATTGTGTTAATATGAAAATAGAAATAATGACAGAATTGGATTATCATAATTTTCTTTTTCTTTTTTTACAAAATCTAATGAAAAATTGAATAATTTTATTACGTATTGAACATCGATAAGCGCATATCTGTGTTGTAATTTTGTAATTTCACATACTTTTAAATATTAATTATATATATATGTACATTAAATATGTAATATTATTTCTATTAAAAGATGATATATCATTATTCATTTTCGTTCTCTCTCTCTCTCTCTCTCTTTCTCTCTCTGTGTTTTTTTTTCTTCTTCAAAGATCGCATCTTTCATCTGACTGACGAGAATCGTTTTAGTAGTTTTGCGGGGCATTCGGTTAGAAAATTTATGCTCGATAAATTTCGATGAGAGAAAACCAAAGAGGAGAATCATCACTCTCCGTACGATTAACTGTAACAGGAATAATCGATATGTCGGTATTGGTGTGACGGAAAACGAAGAGTAGTAATCATCTTCGATCAGCAGTAGATATAAAGTCATCTCTTTCTCTTTTTCACGGTAATCAATCCCACAGCGTGTTCTCACGGATGATTTAACTAGCAACGTCATCTCGAATATTCCGAATGACGATCTTGATTTTTACGTATTCTTCTTAGGAAAAGGAATAATAGTCAAGTGGGACAAGAATCCTCGTATCTTTTGAGGATTCCTTTATCATTTTTTTTTTCTTATTGTAGTGTACAGCGTTAAAGAAAATGAAGAAAAAAACTTATTCGATAAAATCCATTTAAGATGAAGAAGAAGATGAAGAAGAAGAAGAAAAAGAAGAAGCAGTCGAGTGCGAAGGAAAAAGAAAAAAAAAATTGGGACTGAATTGACATTTGTATCGAGTTTAACTTCCTTTCAACGATAATTGATCTTCTACTTTGTAAGCCGTATCAAAAGAATAGGGTCGATGCTTTTCAGAGACTTTAAAATGAAATCTCATCTATCACCAAAAAAAGAAAAAAATATACACACATATATATATATATATATATATATATATATATATATATATAAAGAAAAAAAAAGAAATGAACAAAAACGAAAGGGGACAAAAATAAATAAATAGATAGAGAGAAAGATTGAAAATCGTGAAGTACGAAAATTACATTCGTATTTTAATTAAAATACCTTACCAAAGAAGTGATGAGGTAACTGTGATAGTCGCTCATCATTCCTATTTGTTGTGCTTGTTTCAGCACGTCGTAAATCCTTTCGGTGGAACAGTCCAGTACGATGTGTGACTCAGCCGAGTTCTTTATCTGCTTCAGCAATGGCCTGAAACAAACAAACGAAGAAACCGTACGTGAAATGCTTGCCGTTACTGGGTAAACGTAAATCTCCTTTGATATATCTCTTGGTTTAAATAACGAGAAACCGAAGCAACTTCTTTGCCGATTGCGATTTATGTAGTAAAAGATTCTTTGTGATCTACGAAAATTTCTTACTTTCTATGGTCTCTCTCTCTCTCTCTCTCTCTCTCTCTCTCTCTATCTCTTTCTCTCTTTCTCTATGCCTTCAAGGCATTTGTTTCGGTACATACAAAAAGATAGATAGATAGATAGGTGGATAGAGTAGATTGAGTAGATAAATAGACAAAAAAATAAACGTACGACAATTTTCCGATCCGCTTTCATTCGAAATAAATAAAGAGAGAAAAAAGAAAGAAAGAAAAAAAAAATAAGAAAGGTTCACAAATCTTTTTAAGCTTACAAAATTTCCTTGGTTTTCTTCTTTTTATATTTCGTATATCACGAAAAATCAAATCTGCATAAATGGATAGATAAACGAGACTAAGAAAAAGGAATGAGAAAAGGAAAAGGAAAAGAGAAAAAAAGAAAAAACAAAAAAACAAAGAAAAGAAAAGAAATCAATCCTGTCTTTCAACTTTCACGTAATTCACGTTCTCGACATCTCCATAACTCCGTTTAGATGAATTCGTTTGCGTCGTTCAGTCAGGCATCCCTAGAGACCAGCAAGGTTACTTCCGATTCCGGACGTGCTTTTCCTCATACAGTTCTGATCAAATTTTCATATCACCCCTTCCCATTACTCCCCTGTCTTACCCTCTTAACCTTCCGGCCTTCGGACTTCCATTTGCTTCCTCTCTCATTCAACATGCACAATAATGCGTATCTCCTTATGCAGGACATAAGAGTCAAACTATTTTTCTTTTTCTAACCTTTCCTCTCTTTCTATCTTTCCTTTATTCGTTTCCATCCATCCGGCAAATTTCTCATGAAATTCTTTATCCATAATTTAAAGGAAAAAAAGAAAAAAAAAAAGAACGCTTTTTACGTACGTACTTACGTTAGAAATAGGTTGCGTAGATATATCTTTTGCTTTCTAAAGTTTCAAATTTCACGTGAGAACATTGCCTCTGAAAGCTGATATCGCAAAATCTTTCCAACAACTGCGAGTAACATCGGTCAAAAGGTCGGAAAGGGCAAAAGGTAAAACATATATATTCTTAGGTGGAATTTGGGATAAGGAAAAATTCTCTGATAAAAAATGAAAAAAGATGAGAGAAAGAGAGAGAGAGGGGGGAAGAAGAAAAGATTCTTTTTCTTTTTTCCTTTTTTTATTTTTCTCTCGCAAAATCCATCTAAACATTAGGACAAATGAATGAATTAAAAAAGAAGAAAGAAAGAAAGAAAGAAAGAAAGAAAGAAAGAAAGAAAGAAAGAAAAAAAAGAAAAAGAGACGCAAGGTCGTACGTAACAAACAAGTTTGTTCCCTTCTCGACATTTCTTCTTTTTAGGTTTACTCTCTTAAAAAATTTCTAAGTTTTCTAACGAGAAAAGTCACCTTCTTGAAATATGAATAACGAACGAACACGAATTTTCACTTATACTTAAAAGCTTTACCTCGATCTTATCTTGTATCTAATACAACGTCAACGTGAAATATTGAAATGGATACTTCATCAAGGTGTTCGATAAGTAACGTTAAATGTCCCCGTTTAACGTCATTAATTTTCTGAGAGATATCGGACTCTTCTTCTCTGATATTCGATCTAATACGATTCCAAACTGTTCTTGAAGTGTATCGAAAATCGATTTGTATAGAAGCAAGGAACACTCAATGTTGAGAATCTTCAATAATTTCAATGCTGATTGATACGACTCCATTCAATTTTTCAATAATTTAACAAATATGTCAGAGAAAGAGAGAAAGAGAGAGAGAGAGAGAGAGAGAGAGAGAGAAATTCATCTCTTACTATCGCCTCTTGTTATTTCGATATTGAAGATAAAAGATCATTGGAAACGATAATGTTCGTCTTTTGCCTTAGAAGATGCTGCATTCTGCAAAACAAAACTAAAGTATTCCATATTCTTTCTCATTCATTTTTCTTTCCTTTGAAGAAGGAAATTCTCTATAAAAAGTACTCGACAGATTCCCTTTCTCTTTCTATCCTTCGCTAGCCAGCGTCAGGCAAGAGAGAGAAAGAGAGAGTGAAAGAGAGGAGAGAGAGAGAGAGAGAGAGAGGAGAGAGAGAGAGAGTAAAGTTTCTTTTTCTTTTGGAAAAAATTCGAATAAAGAGTTACTTTGACAAGGTTCGGTGAATGTGTTCAACATTCGAGGCTCGATGCTTTTAGAAACTTGACTAGCGTCGACTAGATTGAATTTAACATCCCTTTAGATCGAATAGTTCCCACTATGCTCCCTTGATACGACTTATCTAACGCTTCTCGTTTCATTCCCAAATGTTATCCATTCCCTAAATCTTACTATTTCAATACTATTTTTATATCTCATTCTGATTATATTGAATCTTATAAATGATCTTTCTAAAAAGAATTGTCGTCGTTGGATGAACATAATAGAAGAAGAAAAAAAAAAAGAAAAAAAAAAAAGAAAAAAGGAAAAGAAAAAGAAGAAGAAGAAATATTAAAGAGGAGAAAAAAGAAGGAAGAATTAAAAAATATTTTCTCCTTTATAAATCTTATCTTTTCTTGACGAATCTAATGTATCGTATATATATATATATATATATATATATATATATATATATATATATTCATACATGTATATTTAAAAATGAGAGTCGTGCAAACGTCCATTTCGAGCTCTCCTTTTTTACGTTTTTTTTTTTTTTTCTTTTTTTGCTCAAATCTAAGCGATCTCTTCTTGGCACTTTACTCGGCTCATCGTCGTTCCAGATAGCTTTCAAGATAGCTTTTAAGATAACGTACCTCTTCGAAGGATAAGCTCCGTACAAGAGAAGACAGATACCGACGCGACGTTGAGAAATGACGAGGCTGGTCTCACGGAATTTTTTAATTCCAGAAAAAGACGAACCGAATATGGTGCTTCTTCAAAAATGAATTTCTCAACTGATGCGAATCAAGCTGCTTTCTTTCCTTCTCTCTCTCTCTCTTTCTCTCTCTCTCTCTCTTTCTCTTTCTCTTCCATTTCTTTTTTTCTTTCTCTTTTTCCTAGACGAAACGTGTCAACGCCATCGAAGGAAAAAAGAAGTGAAGAACGTGAAACATCTCTTATTTCGTATGTACTATTTTCTTCTCTCGTTTTCCACGTGAATATTGCTCGAATTTATCGGTACCCATTCGAAAAGAAAGAATCTTAAAATTACATAGACAATGCAACCAGACGAAGCGAGAAAATTCTACGAATATGAAATTTTCCGCGGTACGCGATGCAATATATATATAGTGTAAATATATATATATATATATATATATATACATATATATATATATATGTATATATAATGATATATTCATATATCTCACAGGTTTATCCAAGTGAAAAGAAGAATTACTTTATTGAACGTGCATCATAAGTGTCGAACCATATGGCTGTGATTATTTTTACTTATTTAAAAAAAATATAGAAAAAATCTGCAATGTATATTAATCCTTTTAAATATTTTTACGATCGTATAATAAGAGTTGAAAGTTCAAAAAATTTTCATTGACAATTTATTTTCGATCGATCACGATCTATGATTTATCTACTGTTTTATTATGCGGGTTTCTATAATAGAGAGAGAGAAAGAGAGAGAAAATGAACAATATATACGTACAATAATGTTATATTAATTATTATTTAATTTCTCAAAGATTAACATAGTGACGAATGATTTGAATGATTACATACATAAGAATGAAAAAATATTAATATTTAATATCCAGTGTGAAAAAATTATGATAATGCAATTCTCTCCTTTTTTTTTTCTTTTTTTTTTTTTATTTCTTATTTCCTTTAATATTTGCTTAATAATTGGTATAATCTTTTTTTTCCTGATATTTTCTTCATATAAATCATGAATTGAAGGTTTAATGGAGTCTCATGGAGTCTTGGTGAGATATACCTCGAATGTAAGAAAGAGAGAGGGGAAAATCTCTTCCTCACTATCGTTCTTTCGATTTTCTCATCTCTCGAGTAAGAAATCGTCGTGCTTTTCTCTTTTTCTCGCTTATCAAGAAGGCCGATAGAATCGATGGATCATCTTGATCGTTTTTCTCCCCTATTTTTTTTTCTTCATCCCTTCCTTTCCCCCCCCCCCACCCTCTCCTTTTCCTTCCCTCCTTTTTTATCCAATCCCTACGAACAGACTCACTTGTTTCCCTTTACTACTTCTCGGCATTTGCTGACTTTTCGGACTATATCGCCTGAAAGTTCGATTAATCGAAGTCGATTTAACGTTTATCACACGAACCCTACTATATACACACACACACACACACACACACACACACACACACACATATGTATGTATATATATATATATTCTCTTCCATTGTAATATAAATAATTCACGTCGATATTTTCTAATAACGTTTGTGCTACGTAAACTACGTTAATTCATCTGGAAAGTATTATAAGGGCAACATTTCATGTTTTTTTTTTCTTTCTTTCTTTTTTCTTTTTTTTTTCCTTTCCACTCGAAAATACTTTCAACAAAAGTATTGCATTGTTTCTTCCTTCTTCTTTTTTTCTTCTTCTTCTTCTTCTTCTTCTTATTCTTATTCTTCGTCTTTTGAAAAATTTCAACCTCATTTTTTTTAACTCGCTGAAAAAACAAAAAAAAAAAGAAAAAAGAAAAAAGAAAAAAGAAAAGGAACGTTTTAATTCTTCATCCTTGTCTCATTTTATCTTTCACGGACGAAGAAAGCTCTTCAGTTTTTAATATTCCATTATATGTTTCGATATAAAGAAAGAGAACTAACAAGTAATAATGTCTTCCCTCTCTCTCTCTCTCTCTGTGTGTGTCCTTATCTCTCGACGAATTACACTTACAAAGAGGAAAGAAA